GCTGGTCATGGACTTGGCCTCTGAAACCATAGCCCCCCAAAACTGCCTCTTCTCTAAGTTGGCTTGGCCACGGTATCTTCAAATGCAGAAGAAAAGCAACTGAGACATCCATCCCTTGTTTCTTCCCTTCTCTTCTTGCTGGGCTTTAAAGGCGGGGCCTCTTTTGTATTATTTTTTTTTTTTTTTTTTTCTGAGACAGAAGCCTGAAGTTTCAAATTTGCTATGTAGTTGAAGATGACTTGAATTCCTGATCCTCCTGCCTCTATCTCCCAGGGGTTGGAACAAAAGGAGCAAATCACCATGCAATTTAAGCAGTTCCGGGCATCGAATGGAGGAGGGCTTTGTGTACGCTGGTCAAGCCTTCTACCCCACTGAGCTACATTCCCCAGCTCCATTTCTTTAAACATTTGTCTTCATTTTATGTGTTTGGTTGTTTGCATGTATGTATGTACCATCTTGGGCAGTGCCCACAGAGGCCAGAAGAGGGCATTGGAATCCCTGGAACTGGAGTTACGGATGGTTTTAAGTATTCATGTGAGCGCTAGGAAACGAACCACAGTCTTGCAGCTCTCGCAGGAGAACCATGAATTCAAGAGGAGCCTGAGCGACACAGTAGGGCTGTTATCTGGAACAGACGAAACCCACCATTTTACAATATTGTGCTCTTCTGGTCACAACGGTTGAAGCAATAAAGACACAATGTTGTTAACTGAAGTCCACAGTTCACCACCGGGCTTTCCCTTAATGTTGCCGGTGGGTTTCTGGATACATAGTATCATGTAACGTATCCACCAGGATTGTATTGAAGAGTCACTTCCTGGTCTTGAATGCGTGCTGTGATCCACCCAGTGAGCTATCTCTTCCCACCTTTTGGTAATTACTTATTTCTTCATTTTTGTCTTTTTTTTTTTTTTTTTTTTACCTCTTTTCTAAAATGTCTGAGATGCAGAATCATTCAAGATACCACTTTTTCTTGGCTGGGTGAGGTGGCACACGCCTGTGAGGCAGAGGCAGGTGGAGCTCTGTGAGTTTGAGGCCAGCCTGGTCTACAAAGCAAGTCCAGGACAAAAAGCTCCATCTCAAAAACAAACAAACAAACAAACAAACAAACAAACAAATAAATAGCACTTTCTCAAGAAGGTCTGCAAGATGGCTCAGTGTGCAAAGGCACTTGATTGCAAACTTGACAACCTGGGTTTGACCCCCGGAACACACAGGGTGGAAACAGAGAACTGCAGCACGAACACTGTGGCTGACACATACACACAACAAGTAAAATCACTCTCTCGTCTGCTTCCTTCACTCACCAACATGTATTTAATATCCAGTAACATCCTCTATAGCTTGGTTTCGGTGTCTTTCCCTCTTTCTCAGTCCTGGGAATTGAATCCAGGGCTTCATGCTTGCTAAGCAAAGGGACATACCGCTGAGCTACAGTACAACCCTCAATCAGGGTCTCCCTGTATAGCCCTGGAAGGCCTGGAGCATGATATGTAGACAAGACTAGCCTTGGACTCTGCCTCTGCCCTGATAGTAAAGGAACGCGTCATCATGGCCCTCCACAAATCAAGTATGGCAGGGTCTAGCTAATTACTCGGGCTGCCCTGAACTCCCTCTGTAGCCAGCCCAGGCAGGCCTTGAACTGGTGACCCTCCAGGCTCAGCCTTCTAACTGCTGAGATCATAGGCAAGTGGCCTTGTGCCTGGAGCTCCTTTCTTTCTATCACTGAATTTAAAGAAACCAAGGACTCCCCTGATGCCTCCGCCACACTGGAGCAAGCTGGGGGTGAAGCCGCAAGGCCACCACCACCTCTGTTTCTGTTGTCGGTTTCCCCATGTGTGTGACAGTCAGGAATCATGAAATAGGGCCTTCCTTAATGTAGACAGCAACGCCTCAAGTACCACCCATACCTCGGCCCCTGTAAAGGCCATCCCTGTGAACCTGGTGTCACCATGCCATCACTACCACCCAGAAGACTATGGACAACCTCTCTGGGAAATGGCCATCTGACGGCCATGGGGATATCCAGAACATCATGAGGCACAGGCTGACCCTGTCAAGGTCACAGCCAAGCTCATCCCTAAACTGAAAGAATGGGAAGTTCACAGGCATGTCCTTTCTGTGTCCAACCATAGTATCTAGGCTCCTACCTGCTGTGAAGAAAAGGTCACGGAGTTAAATGACATCAAGGACTTGGTGAAGAGCCAGGTGTCTTGGCACACGCCTTTAATCCCAACACACAAGAGGCAGAGGCAGGCAGGTTTCTGAGTTTGAAGCTGGCCTGGTCCACAGAGTGAATTCCAAGGCAGCAGGGACTATGGAGAATGAAACCATGACTTTAAGGGGGAAAAAAAAAAGGGTGAAGCAATCTGAAGGGCATTCTGGGCTAGCCTGAGGGACCAGTTTGTTCCTGCAACTGAAAAGCATATTCTTCCTTTCATGCTGAGGCTGGCATTACCAAGTTTCATTTCCTAGTATGATAATGAGTGTGGGTTACTGCACCAGGGTGGTGGCAAATTATGATCCATGTGGCTTCCAAAGAGTAAGAGCCTCCGGGCCACCAGGTCAAGCAGGATCAGGAGTGGAAGGGAGTTTTATCTGCTGGGGAGTCCCTGCTTCTACTCAGCCCCCCAACAACAGAAACCCCCCCCCCTCCTTCTAGAACAAACCATGGGGGTTGGAGAGGTAACTCAGAGGTTAAGAGCACTGGCTGCTCTTCCAAAGGTCCTTATAACTATCTACAATGAGATCTGGCGCCCCTTCCGGTGTGTAGGTGTAGATGCAGGCAGAACACTGTATAAATAATAAAGAAATGTGAAGAAAAAGCAGCAGCAGCAGCAGCAATGAAGTTCCCCACCCTCCAAAAAGAACACTCACTACCGCTTTGGTTTGAGCCCTTCTTCTCTGTCTCTGTTCCTCCCACCCCCACCCCCAGACAGGATGCCTCTGTGTAGCCTGGGCTGGACTGGACTGGCTGTGTAGACCAGGCTGGCCTCGAATTCAAAGAGATCCGCCTGCCTCTGCCTCCCCTCTGGGATTAAAGACCTGCACCACCACCGCCCAGCTACACCCTTCTTCTCTCTGGTCGTCTACCTCTTCTCTCGTCTCCTCCAACCGACTCTTATTCAGCCTTCTCTGCTTGTACAACTCCGAACCGTCTGCCACAGCGTGAGATCTGAACGAGCAGAGCTAGTGTAAAAAAGGCACTTAAGAGCCGGGGGAGGCGGCACACGCCTGTGATCCCAGCACGCAGGGAGGCAGAGGCAGGCGGAGCGCTGTTAGTTTGAGGCCAGCCTGGTCTACAAAGCGAGTCCAGGACAGCCAAGGCTACACAGAGAAACCCTGTCTCCTTACTAGAGGTTAGAGGTGCTGGGACTTCAGCATCCGCGTCAGGCAGCTTTTAACTACAGCTCCAGAGGGTCTGAAACCCTCTTCTGCCCTCTTGTGGCGACTTGCGTGCAAGTGCACACACACACACACACACACACACACACACACACACACACACACTCAAATACATTTTTCAATAGATGAAACAAAAATCTAAACCCCTGGATCTGCCCAGCCTGCCACTTTCCCCCTCTTTTTTTTTTTTTTTTCTCCGCTGATTAAGCAACGCCTGGGGCACCTCAGTTCCTCCACTTGCCAAGGCTTTTTTTCAGGCACCCACCCCCACCCCCGCACGCCATCTCGCCGCCCCTGAGTCTGATCGGAGCCTCTACTGACACCTGCATTAGACGAGGCTTAAATCAGGAAAGTGTGTGGACCAGCATCTCCCTCTCCACTAACTGCGAAGGCAGAGGCTCCGAGTCTTCACTGTCTTGAGCCCAAGGCCTCGGTGGTGTGTGCGCGTTTGGGTTTCGTCAAATGCAGCCAGCTCTTTGGCAGCGTCAAGGTGCCTGGAATCCCAGGAGAGGTGGGCGCCTCTACGCAGGGAGGGGCCTTACACCTCGTGCAGCCCGCAGCGGCCATAGTGTGATCGAACACTGAGCCTGGGGTCCACCCCAGTGCCTCTGCATCCCTGGCTCTCCAGCCACATGCAGTGCGACAGGTGGAATCTGCTGGCCCCGGGTGGGCCTGCCCCGGTGCTCGGGCCCTCAGCTGGCCTCTCCCGGGCCGGGGGACCCCACGAGGAAGCTGCTCCCAGGCTGGGTTAACCAAGAACTTGGGAGAAAAGGCCAGCACGCTGGTTTCCAGAAACAAAGACCGGCTGAGGCCACTGTCCCTCCTCTTCCGCTGCGCGGTTGGGGAAACCGAGGCACGGATTTACCTAAGGCCCCGCAGGGACCGCGCGAAGGCCGCTAGGGCAGAATGCTAGCTCTGCAGGCCTGCGCCCTACGGTGCGGTGCGGGGGTGGGGAGCTGGCTCGGCCCTGCGGCGGGGCTGCCGCGGGGACCGGCCGGGGTGGGGCAGCCGTTTGCCTAGCGGCAGAAGTCAGAGGCGGCTCCGGCCAGCCTTGCGGCCGGCAGAGGCAACCTCTGCTTCGCGCTGAGCGGCCGGCCGCGCAGGAAGACAGCTGCGCCCCGGGAGGCGTGCGGGGGCGCAGGGGGCGGGTCGGGGGGCTGTCGGGGGAACGGCGCCACCTCGCCCCGTTCGGTCCCCGTACCTCCCGGGAGAGCAACCTGGGGTGGGGCCGGCGGCCCTGCAACTCGAGCTGCGGCCCTAGTTAAAAATACCCCTTGCCCTACCCTCCCTCTGGCCGGCGGTGCCCTTCTGTCCTAGCCCAACCCTCCTCACCCCGACAGGAGCTCGCTCCTCCCGGGGGAGAACTCTGCCTTTTACCAACCTGTCCTCTCGGAGGGTTGGCTCAGAGCCTTCGGAGGAAGGGAGGGGCTGAAGACACCCGGAGTAAGAGATAGTAGGAAAAAAAAAAAAAAAAAAAACTATTGGGAAGTTGCAGAGGAAGATAAGAGAGCCTAGAGGGAGCGGGGACAAGAGCCTGAGGAGTAGGTGCAGGTCCAGGGAGGGAGGGACCAGGACCGAGGGGCGGTGGAGGAGGGCGGGGAGGAGCTCTCTTCCTGGTTGGGTCCTGCCCTGAGCCACTAAGGAAGCAAGCGGCGGGACCGCAGCAGTCTCCCAGACTCTCCTCCCCCAGGTAAGGAGTTGGGTACCCAGACTACGGTTGTCTGACCCGGGCCACTGCTTCTGGGGCTAGAGGGCAGTTGCTGATCAGCCCCTGTCCTCTGCGTGAGTGGTTGGGGTCAGGAAGCAGCTCACCCTCGGCTCACCCTGGACCTGGGCCGCTGTCCAAGTGCTCTGATTTTTAGCCTGTCTCAGGAGCCTGCGGAGGGGCATCAAGGCCTTGGAGTTTTCAGTTCCTAAGCCGAGGGAAGGGGCAGGCGATAGATGCTTGGCAACTTCGTGGGTGGGGGGGGAGGCTACCGTCAGGCAAAGCGAGAGATCTTAACTCCTCTGTGGCTGGCCTCCACCTGATACCACCTGCCTGGATGGCTGACAGAGAGTTGTCAGCCTTGGACAGTGGGAACAGGGGAAAGGAGAGGTGATGGACGGGCTACCTAGAAACCGGGCACCGTTTTCCGGATTCTGGGAGTACCATAGAGGGGTCAGCGAAGCATGTTTGGGGAGTAGAGTGCTGGCAGGCATGAGTTGTGTTCCGTTCCTGCTGGGGAGGCCTGTATTTCTAACAGGCCCGTGTGTTCCCCAGGATGGCAGAAGAGCTCGTCACGCCTGTGTACTGCACTGGGGTATCCGCCCAACTGCAGAAGCAACGGGACAAGGAGTTGGGCCTGGGCAACCATGAGAACCCCGTCAAGTACCTGGGCCAGGATTATGAGAAGCTTCGAGCAAGCTGCCTGCAGCAACGGGTCCTCTTCCGAGATGAGGCCTTCCCCCCGGTTTCCTACAGCCTGGGCTACAAAGATCTGGGTCCTAATTCCCCTAGAACCCAGGAGATCAAATGGAAGCGTCCTACGGTAAAAGGGCCACTCTAGGTGCAGCTTGGCTCTGGTGATGGGTGAGGAGTGGGGCTGGGGCCCCGTTATTAGTGGTGTTGGGGTGTCTGGGTGCCAGTTTCTAGGAGGGAATGGCCCAGGAACAGGACTGTGGGTCTTGCAGGAGATGCTTTCAAACCCCCAGTTCATCGTGGATGGAGCCACCCGGACAGACATCTGCCAGGGAGCACTGGGTAGGCTCCCCGGATAGGGTTCTGGGTGTTTGTCCCATTGTAGCTCCCCATTCCCGCTCCATTGGGCACTGCCCCAACTCCTCCCTCCCGCAGGCCCAGGCAGGCAGGCCTGGGCTATCAGCATAGGTGCTGGTTTGCCCGGTTTCCTGGATCTTTTCTGACAGGCACCCCACCCAGGGAATCCCAGGCTGTCCCGGCATCCCTCATACACAGCACCCCCCTTCCCCGAGCACATCCTCAGGGGCCTAATGAGGGTCTCTTCTATTCCAGGGGACTGTTGGCTCCTGGCTGCCATTGCCTCCCTCACTCTCAACCAGACCATTCTGCACCGAGTGGTTCCCTTCGGCCAGAGCTTCCAGAGTGGCTATGCTGGCATCTTTCATTTCCAGGTGAGGGTCCTGCACCCTGCACTCTTTGGGGCAGGGGCATGGCTGGCCTTAGAAAGATGTGAAAGGATGGCCCCAGCACTGTGAGGCTGGGATGGATGGCCTGGGCCACACGTGGGGGCAGCCCTCCCTCTGGAAGGCATTTGACCCATCTGTGTCATCTCTGGTCAGTCATGTGTGAATGGTTGGGCAGGTATTTCAGCTTGCCTGTTTTCTTGGGTAAGGTTGTGTAAGGTAAAGGGAGAGAGTGTGGAAGGAGAGAGACTTCTGTGCTTCGGCTACCGGCAGCAATCCATTTCTTCACCCAAGCCTCAGTTTCCCTGGCTAAGATGGAGTACTCCCTGCTTTGGCAAGCTCTGACAGAGTGGAGGAGAAAAGCCCGACTCGGGACTTAAACTACCCTTTCCTGATGTTTCTCACATGACCGCTTTTCTCAAGTTACATTTGCGAATTCTCCAGGAACAGTTATTGAGAGAGGCACACCCAAAAGTCTTGGTTTGGTTCTTTCTGATATGACGACCCTGGCCTTGCCTAGAGGAGTCCCTGTCTTCCTGCTGCCTAATCAGGCCTCCTACCCAACTCTGCCCTGGCAGAGAAGAAATGGCTGGTATCACTGTCTAAACTGAGTGCCCACTCACCCAGCTCCACTCACCAGGGCCCTGGCTTATCACCCTTTTTCTCCACCCCTTTCCTCAATTCTCCAATCCACTCCTCCTCAGCTTCTGACTAGCCCGTTCAGTACTTCCTCCCAAATTGTTTGCTTGACCTCTTCTTACGCCATTATTCTGGGCTTCCTCCTGAGACAAGTTTTTGTTTCTCTGTGTAGCCTTGGCTGCCCTGGACACTTTCTTTGTAGACCAGGCTGGCCTCGAACTGCCTCCCCGAGTGCTGGGATTACAGGTGTGCACCACCGTGCCTGGCTGCCCCCGTGACAATTTTTGGTGCTCTTGGAAGCTTCTGTCCCTAGGCACCCAGGACCTGCACCCCACCCCTGCTTCTAGCCAGGGTGGCAGGTCTTTTGGCATCCCTGGGCAAAGCCGGTGATTTCGTGAGCCACCCCTCCCCCATCTTCGGTTGAGGGTCTGGGCACAACATCGTATTCCACTTGTCCCACTTGCTCTGGTGGTCAGGCTTAAATAGGGAGGCAAGCAGGAGGGGGCAGGGCTTAGGGGTTGCTTTGATGAAGAACACCGGCTTCTCGCCCTCGGCCTCTCCTGTGTCTGAATGGGAGCCTTGTTCAGTCTTGAGTTATTGGCGTCACCTGCGTTACCTTAGTTACCTGTTGGGAAACTAAGGTGGTGTTGCTCCTTTTCCTGGTTATGGAAACTGAGGCTCAGACCTAATGCAATGCAAACACCCCCATCAATAGTTAGGCTATTTGCCTAGGGAAATACTGTGAAGAAGCAAGTCTTTAATTGTTCGCCTAAAAGTTTTCATTACATTTGTTTAATTTTTGCATGTGTCTGTGTGTGTGTACGCTTGTGTGCCTGCATGGGTGTGTGAGCACGTGTGTTGATGAGGATTAACTGTGTGTCTGTAAAGGACAGAGGACGGGAGTCTGTTCTCTCCTTCTACCACGTGAATTGTGGAATTGAACTCAAGTTTCAGCCTTAGTGGCAAGTGCCTTTACTGTCAGAGCCATCTGCATGGTCCAGATGTGATTTTGTGGAATTGTTGTTTCGTCTCTTTTTGAGATGTCGTCTTACTATGTAGCCTCGGCTAGCCTGGAATGCACTGTGTAGGGCAGGTTGTCCTTGAGCTCACAGAGAGGGACTCCAGAGTGCTGAGATTAAAGGTGCTTATAGTTGCGGTACCTGGGGCTGAGGCAAGCTGACCGACGGTATGCCCCAGCAGATAGAAGGCGTGGCCCTATGAATGTATGTTCCACATGTACCTTGAATGAATTTAATAAACCCAGCCGAATCTAGAGCTGAGGGCCCCCGGAGCAGGTACTCACTTTGCCCTCCCCCACAGCTGTGGCAGTTTGGGGAGTGGGTGGACGTGGTCGTGGATGACTTGCTGCCCACCAAGGATGGGAAGCTGGTGTTCGTGCACTCTGCCCAGGGTAACGAGTTCTGGAGTGCTCTGCTTGAGAAGGCGTATGCCAAGTGAGTAGGAGCCCCAGGGCACACCTCCGGACTCTGGGGTTGGAGGGGTGGCTCTGGCCCTCTTACCTGGGCCTGCTCCAGGGTGTCGACTGACCTGGGCCTGCCCACAGGGTGAACGGCAGCTATGAGGCCCTTACGGGAGGCTGCACTTCAGAGGCCTTTGAGGACTTTACCGGAGGGGTCACTGAGTGCTACGATTTGCATGAGGCACCCCGAGACCTCTTCCAGATCATCCAGAAGGCCGTGGAACGAGGCTCCTTACTGGGGTGCTCCATCAGCGTGAGTAGTCTCCAAGGGCCTCATTCTCAGCCCAGGCTCAGCCCGAGACACGCCCCCTCCTCACCATCCCAGCTCTGCCCATCACCTCCTCCCTGTCCCCACATCTTCCTTCAAACCTCTGGCCTGAGCTGTGCCCACTCCTGCTCCCTTCTCATTCTTTATTTGTTTGTTTTTATGATTTGTTTTATGTGCATTGGTGTTTTGCCTGCATATATGTCTGTGTGAGTGTCAAATCCCCTGAAGCTGCAGTTGTAGATAAATTGTGAGCTGCCATGTGGGTTCCTGGGAATTGAACCCCGAGCCTCTGGAAGAGCAGCCAGTGCTCTTAACTGCTGAGCCATCTCTCCAGGCCCCTACAATAAACAGTTTTAAAAGGCTAGATGACTCTGCAAGTTTAGCCTCACCTGCTTGTCCCCTCACCGAGTCCCTCTTGGGGGTGAGCTTGATTATAAGTGTGTGTGTCTGTGTGCATTCACAATCTGGCCGGGCACCGGCCAGTAGCAGCATAGTGACAGAATTGATGAGGTAGCTAGGATCAGCCCTGCTCCCTAAGAAGAGCAGCAATGGAGTGGATGGGGGATGGGAGCCTCTAAGAGTTTCTCCCATCATCCCATAAGCTTTTTTTTTTTTTTTTTGAGACAGGGTTTCTCTGTGTAGCCCTGGCTGTTCTGGACTTGCTTTGCAGACCAGGCAAAGATCCACCTGCCTCTGCCTCCCTGAGTTGCTGGGATCACAGGTGTGCGCCACCGCTCCTGGCCTCTCCCATCAGCTCTCATGTGGGTTGTATGTGCAGGGGGACTGTCTGAGTCCTGTGAATGCTCCAGGCAGGTCTGGCACCTCGTCTTCCGGTCATAGTGCATGTTTCCTTCTGCAGATCTCCAATATCCGGGAATTGGAGAATGTTACGTTTAAGAACCTAGTCAGAGGCCACGCCTACTCTGTGACGGGTGCCAAGCAGGTATTTCCCTGGATGGGGTTTGCCCTGCAGGGTGGTTCTTACTTCTATGTCCCAATGTCCTCTGACATGCGCTGGTGGTGGTGGGGGTTCTCCTTCCCTGATCTCCTGGGATAATCGTCCTGTGGCATACACCCACGCTTATGCCCAGTGACTCTAGTGCATGTTATCACTAGGCCTCAGTAGGCTGTAAATTCCTGAAGGACTGGCTTTAGGGGATATTGACTGTATGGCCCTGGTGTGCTGCTGGGCAATAAATAGGCTGAGGTGGTAAAGAAGGCGGGCCAAGAAGGGGGGTCCAAGGGCATGGCACTGATGTATGCTCTGGGGAACAGGTGAATTACCAGGGCCAGCGTGTGAGCCTGATCCGAATTCGGAACCCCTGGGGTGAAGTGGAGTGGAATGGACCCTGGAATGACACGTAAGCAGCAGGGCAGTGGGCACTGGTCGGGGAGGTTGGCGGAAGTCTGGAGATGTCCCTGACCTTTCTGCTGGGGCCCCAGCAGGCAGGAGGTAGATTCAGGGTCTAGTAGAGAGTCGCATCCTGGGTTTTTGCCATGACAGAGCCCACCCAGGCTTTGGGGATCGGGGCAGCCTGTGCCCAAGGCATCTGCTTTGACGTTGGTGAGACACAGCCCTGGCCGGATGTGGGCCTGTAATCCCAGTGTTCATGACGCTCAGGCAGGCGCATCACTACAAATTCAGGGTTAGCCTGGGCCACACAGTGAGTCCTAGCTCAACCTTGGCTGCATTGTCTTAAAGGGGGAAGGATTATGGTAGCGCATGTCTTTAATCCCAGCAGGGGCAGGCATATCTGTGAGTTTGAGATCAGCCTGTCCTGTATACCCCATTCCAGGCCAGCCAAGGCTACACAGCAAGACCCTATCTTCAAGGGGGGAAGCAGGGGAAGGATGGTGGTGCTTGGAAAAAAAAAAATGGCTCAGCAGTTAAGAGCTTGTACCGGTCTACAAAAAGACCTGAGTGTGGTCCCAGCACCCACATGTGGAGGCTCACAACCTTGTGTAATTACAGCTCCAGGGGATCTAACACCCTCTTATGACCTCCACAAGCACCACACTTACATGCACAAATACACACATAAACACACACATACACACAGATATACACACATTTACATAATTTAAAAAGTAAAAATGCACTTAGGAGGCATAGACAGGTGGAGCCCTGTGAGTTCGAGTCCAGCCAGGGCTACCTAGTGAGGCCCTTGAATAGGGATCTGTAAGGCCTCATGACGGTGATCCTGGAGAAAGCGTGCTGCCCTGGGCTCTGCAGACAGGTCAAGTTGGACAGGCCACAGGGACAGAAGTTAGATAGGTCAGTGGTGCCCCGCACTGGCAGTGCCTGCTTCCCACAGCTCCTCAGAGTGGAACAAAGTGGACCCCTACGAACGAGAGCAGCTGAGGGTCAAGATGGAGGATGGGGAGTTCTGGTAAGCGGCCCTTTTTCTCCGCTTGCTCCCCTAAAAACCCAGTCCCATGATGGAGGACTGTGGTTCACCTCTGCCCTTGGGCCCTCAGGATGTCGTTCCGAGACTTCTTGCGTGAGTTTGACAGACTGGAGATTTGCAACCTTACACCTGATGCCCTGAAGAGCAGGACTCTGAGGAACTGGAATGCCACATTCTTCGAGGGCTCTTGGCGCCGGGGGAGCACAGCTGGCGGATGCAGGAACTACCCAGGTGACCTGAGCCCCAAGGAAGCGGGGAGACAGGACAAGGGTGTACATCCTTAAATGTCCTTAATGGTGCTAAAGGGACATGCTGGACTCCCTGAGGCCTGGATAGGAAAACCTTGTCATCCAGACATCCGCTGTTCACTCCTCCTCATTCCCAGCACCTCGTGACTCCCTGGCTAACTGTCCTCTCAGCTTTCCTTCTCAAAAATGGGTGACTGATGACTGTCGTGGCATGGCCTCTCTGTGACCCTCTCTACTCCCAGCTCTCTGACATCAACTTTTTTCTCTGCTCCAGCTCCACCCTTCCCTACCACAGAGCATTCTGGGCCTTGCCAGTCCCTATTCATCTCAACCTGGGAATACATCTGCCCTTGCCCAGGCCTCAGTCTCATGGAATTGACTGATATTGCTGACTCCCCTTCTTTTTTTTTTTTTTTTACACTTTGAGCTCTCTCTGCTAGTCTCTCGATCTTTCTTTCTTGTTCTTGTTTTTTGGTTTGTTTTGATTTTTGAGTCAGGGTTTCTTGTGGACCAAGCTAACCTTGAACTTGCTACGTAGCCAAGGGTGACTGTAAACTTCTGATTCTCCACTTCCAGAATGCTGGGATTCCAGGTGGGCATTCCACCACCTGGCTTCTGTGGTGCTGTGGATGGAATCCAGGGCTATTCAAATGCCAGGCCCTCTACCAACTGAGCTGTGGCCCATCCCCTTAGCTGTGAGTTATGAGTCACTTTAATTTGTTGTTGTTGTTGGAGACAGAGTTTCTCTGTGTAACAGCCCTGGCTGTCCTTGACTCATTCTGTGGACCAGACCAGGCTGGCCTTGAACTCACAAACATCTGCCTGCCTCTGCCTCCTGATTGCTGGGATCAAAGTTTTGTGCCACCACTGCCCGGCCCATTTTAATGTTTATTTATTTTGTGGGGGTATGTGTGTGCATGCACACCCCATGCTGTGGTGTGTGCACGTGGAAGTCAGAGGACAACTCTCAGGGCTGGTTCCCACAGTCCACCATGTCAGTACCAGAGATAGGACTCAGGCTGTCAGGCTTGGTGGTGCCTTTACCCCCTGAGCCATCCTGCCAGCCCTCATTGTTTCATCGGTTTTTGTTTTGCTCTGGTTTTTCGAGACAGGGCTTCTCTGTGTAGCCTTGGCTATCCTGGATTCCACTTGTAGAACAGGCTGGCCTCTAACTTACAGTGACCTCTGCCTGCCTCTGCCTGCCTCTGCCTCCCTGAGTGCTGGGATTACAGGCGTGCGCCACTGGGCCCAGCTCATTGTTTCATCTTGATCTTGCAGACGTCTAGTTCATTGGCCTCTCCTTCCTCTGCTCCTGTCACCCAGCACAACCACAGTCCCCGCTACTGAGCCCAGCTTTCTCAGAACCGCTAAATGTACCTGAAGAGAAATCACACAGCTCAGGCCATTTTCCTTGTGCATTCACAGCCACAAACCTCTAATGAGCACTTTGCATGGTCCCCACCATTCTGCTAGGAACTCTCCACTTTCCTCCACCTCTCTCTTCATTGCCTGTCACCCAGAGACCTTGCATCTCATTGAGAAGCAGCCATGCCTCCTGTGGGAGCTCCTGTCTGTCATTCCAGTGCTCAGGAGGTAGACCCAGGAGGATCAGGGGTTCAGTGCCAGCTTTGGCTGTAGAGCGAGTCTGAGGCCAGCCTGGGCTGCATGAGGCCCTGTCAGAAAAGAGAAAGAGAGAGGAGTGAAGGGGGAGAGAAAAGGGGGAAAGAGGCCTCAGTACACAGGGTACCAGGTATCTACCTCTGCTGCCTCTGTCTGTCTTCAGTGTGTGTGTGTGTGTGTGTGTGTACACACGTGTGCTTGGGACAGTGGCAGGAACGTCCCTGTTTCTGGGGAACCCTGTTCTTCTTCTGTCCTATTCTCCCTCTTCTCTGAAAGCTCTTTGCTCCTTCACCCCTCCTCTTATCCCGTGTCCTAATGGAAAAATCCCATCTTCAAACATGCGGCCCTCTCTTGACCTTCCACCTCCCAACCCATGCCTCCCGCCTCTCCTGCTCAGGAATTACCATGTTGCCCTTCCCTTCTGATGGCACTGACTTGGCCAAATTCACCCCTGTGGTGGGCTGCTGCCAGCATCTTCTGGCTGGTCCCTCGGGAAGCTCACCAGTGTTGTTCTGAAACATTCTTCTCCCCACTTCATTTTTTCTCCAAACCTAGAAGTATCGGCTTCCTGTACCACAGCTGAGAGGGCTGCACTTCCCTCTGCCCGCCTAGCTAGGGGCATTGTGCAGTTCCTGTGTCTTTGTCGGTATTTCTGGCCCTTCTCTAAGCTTCCATTAATTGCTCTTTGAGTAATTATCATGGTTATTTATTTAGTTATTTATTTATATTTAGTTTTTTGAGTCAGGGTTTCTCTGTGTAGCCCTGGAACTCACTCTGGAGATCAGGCTAGGCTCCAACTCAGAAATCCACCTGCCTCTGCCTCAGAGTGCTGGGATTAAAGGCGTGAGCTACCGCTGCCTGGTGTTGTTAGGGATTTGTAAGTTCTGTTTCTAAACAAAAGCACAGCTTCTTCAGGAGTCTCTTAGCTATTTTTTTTTAAGATTTCTTTTTAAATGTGTTTTATTTTATGTATATGAGTATTTTGCCTGCATGTGTGTCTGTGTACCGCGTTCATGCCTGGTACCCAGGAGGGTCAGTGGAGGGCATCAGATGCCCTAGAATTGGACTTACAGAAGTTTATCAGCCACTAAATGGGTGCTGGGACTCTATCCCCAGTTTTTTGCTCTTGCTCTTAACGGCTGAGCCCTCTCTCTAGTCCTGATTAACTTTGCCGCCATTCGCGCCAACTTCAGGCAGGGAACAGAGTCCTGTAACCCAAGTTTTTCTAGGACTCAAGTTTCACTAGAACTCAATTTGCAGCCAAGGATGACTCTACTTCTGACTCTCTGCCTCCACCTTCTCTTGGCTTCTTTAATCTTGTTGTCGTTCTTTATTGGGTGTTTGTTTGTTTGTTTGTTTGTTTTCTTAGACAGGGTTTCTCTTTGTAGCTTGCTGTCCTGGAACTCACTCTGCAGATCAGGCCGGCCTTGAACTCAGAGATCCACCTGCCTCTGCCTCCCAAGCGCTGGGACTAAAGGCATGCTCCACCACTCTTGGGTCTTCTTTAATCTTGCCTTTTGTTTTGCTTACAAATTTTAGCATTGGGCTACTAACAACCCCCCCTTTTTTTAAAAAAAAAAAAAGTTGGGGGCACTGTAAGTATAACTCAGTGGCAGAGTGTTTTGGGGTAGGTTTGAGGCCCTGGATTCCATCCCTAAGGTAACCAAAAGATGAAATCATTTATTTTTTAAAGATTTCTGTTTGGGGTCTGTTGGGTGGTGGCTTAGGCTATGGAAGGGTGAGTCAGGAGAACTTTTACAAATTCACAGCCAGCCTCGCGTAAAGAGCAAAACTCTGTTTCATAACTAAAATAAGATGAGATTTTATTTTGGAATTGGTGTTAGATCAGTTTGGAGAAAGTTGACATTTTATAATTTTGAAACTTCTGATCTTAGAACATGGTATGTATAAACATATATATCGGCGTGTGTATTCTATACACAGGTGCGCATGTGTGTTTAGACGTTCTCATGTGTATATGCGGAAGTCACAGGACGGATGTTGGAGGTTCTTCCTCAGCCACTGTCCACCTCATCTTTGAGGCAGACTAGCCTGGCTATCCAGAAAACTCAGAGATGTACCTGTCTTCATCTCCTCCACCCTAGGATTAGATGTGGACAATGCCATACCTGGAGCTTTTCGTTTGTTTGCTTGTGGTTTTTGTTGGCATTTCGTTTTCTTTTGGTTTCTCTGTGTACCCCTGGCTGTCCTGCAACTCACTCTGTAGACCAGGCTGGCCTCGAACTCAGAGATCAGCCTGCCTCTGCCTTCCAGAGTACTGGGATTAGAGGTGTGCACCACCACACTCGGCTTGAAGAATATAGCTTTTAAAGGGCTTGTACGTCTTTTGAGAGTTAGTATCCAGTGTGCCCTCCTTCTACTGTAAGTACAGACCAGCCACCCTTTCCAAAATGCTTGGACCGGAAGTGGCTCAGAGTGTATATCATTTTGGATTTTGACATATCTGTATATGTATATAGTAAAATATCTTCTTATTTTTATATTATGTGTATGAGTGTTTGCCTGTATCTGGTGTCTGTGGAGACTTAAAGAGGACATCGGTTCCCCTGAGACTGGAGTTACAGACAGCTGTGAGCCACCATGTGGGTGCTGGGAATCGAACCCAGATCTGACAGACAGAACGGCCATCGTTCTTAACTGCTGATCCAGTTCTTCAGCCACAAAATATTGTAGGTGGGGGTGTGCGTAGGCCATGGGCAAATGTGATATGTCAGGGCATAATCTGCAAGGCTTCCCTTCTTCCACTCTGTGGGTTCCAGGGATCAAACTCAGAGAGTTAGGTTTGGTGTCAAGCCCCTACCCACAGAGCCATTTTCTAGCCCAATGTCTCCTTTTAAAATGTCAGCCCTCAGGGTGGCGATGCACTCCTTTGATCCCAGCATTCTGGAGGCAGAGGCAGGGGTTGGTTGGTTTGTTTGTTTGGGGTTTTATTGTTCGTTTGTTTTTTAAATGAAGACAGATCTCTGTGTCCTGGAACTCATGGTGTCCTTCCTTTGCCTCCAAAGCGCTGGGCTCCAGGTGTACAACGCCATACATAATTTACAAGGCGCTAGGGACGGGACCCAGCACTTGGTGCAGTGGGCGCTCTAGGAGGAAAACACTTTACCAACTGAGCTGCATCCCTCACCCTGACAAAGTTTTCTTTTAGTTTTGTATTTTGTATGTGTGTGTTTGGGGGGAGGGGGGGAGTGTTTTGCCTGCGTGAATGTCTGTGTTTTACCTGTATTCCTGGTGCCCGTGGAGGTCAGAATCGGGCAACAGATCCCCCAGAAGTGGAGTTATAGGCAGTTAATGAGCCACCATCTGGATGCTGCGAATCAAACCCAGGTCCTCTGGAGTGGCAGCCAGTGCTCTTAACCGCTGAGCCGTCTCTCCAGCACTTTGATGAAACGTCATACAGTAGTTTTCATGAGTGAGCTTTGCCTGTTCATTCTCTGCTCACGCTGACCACATTGCTGAGGAGCTGTCTGTTCTGTTAAGGCAGCCTCTTTCTTTGTGTTTTCTAGGAGCGTTTGCATAAGGAGAGAAGATTTGTTTGGTAGAATGTATGGCTGCTGAACCTGCTCTTCCCTTCCCTTCTTTTGGTTTCAGTCCTAGGGCCTCATGTACGCAGAGCAAGTGCTCTGTGCTCACATGCCGGCCCAGCCGTCTCCATCCCACTCGTTTATGCATTTATTTTAACATTTATTTATTTATTTGATGTGTGTGAGTGTTTTGCCTGCATGTATATCTGTGTGCCACTTGCATGGCTGGTGCCTACGGAGGCCAGAATCAGGCAACGGATCTCCTAGAACTGGAATTACAGACCATTGTAAGCTGCCATGTGGGCGTGAGAAACTGCACCCAGGTCCTCTGGATGAGCTGCCATCTTGAATGCTTTGCCCTGTCCCCAGCCCCACAGGTGCTTTTATAATAACCTAGCTGAATTTTTCTTCCTTAAAAAATTATGTTTCTTTTTATTTGACATGATGGAGTTTCATGTGTCCCTGTGAGCACATGGAGGTCTGAGGACAATTTTTAGGGAGTCACTTTTTTTTTTTTTTCTTCTACCACCTGGATCCTACGAATCAAATCCAGGTCATCAGGCTTGGTAGCCACCACCCATACCCAGTGACCTGTCTACCAGCCTAACATATTAATATTTATTTCAGTTCATTTGCTTTCTTCCCTCCCTCCTTTCCTTCCCTCCTTTTTTTTTTTTTTTTTTTTTTTCAGACAGGGTCTTACTCTGTAGCGCAGGTTAGCCCGACATTCACAGCAATCCTCCTGTCTAGTAAGTTTTTCCCACTGTGGGTTTGCACATGTTAACAACATGCTTAATACATTTTGTTGTGTTTCGTTGAGACACGGGGTCTCGTGCAGCCCAAGAGCTGGCTGTATAGCTGAGACTGGCCTTGACCTTCTTATCTTCCTGCCTCTAAGCGCTGGGACTACAGGCACAAGCCGACAAGCCTAGCTTTCCCTTTTTATTTCGTTGTAGCTGTTTTCCATACTTTGTGGCCTCCCCTGTGTGACACACGTGCTCCGCCAGTGAGCCCCAGGCCAGTCCACACAGGCTGTGGTTGGTCTTCTAAATAACGCAGAGACTTTAGAGCATCTTCCTTGGCTTGCCCTTCCCGTTATAAGATGGTATTTTCGTTCCAAACCATTTCTTACTTGCCATAAGTTAACTGTTGTTACATGAACTTGGAGCACCTGCATAGTAATGATGATTATCACATTCTCAGACCTGTCATCTGGCCTCGTATTCTCTGCTTAAAATGTCTTTTTTTTTTTTTTTTAAGTTTTTTTTGTCGGGCTGGAGAGATGGCCCAGTGGTTAAGAAAGCACACTCCTCTTCCAGGAGACCCCAGGTTAGTTAGCGGTCCCTTCACACACACACAGTGTGTGTGTGTGTGTGTGTGTGTGTGTGTGTGTGTGTGTGTGTGTACCACCATGGCCAGCCTGGATGACTGACTGGTCATGTAAAAGCACTGAGAAAACCAGGCACTGGCTACTCCTTTGGGAGCTCAGCTTGCTGGCACTATCCCAGGCCGACCGCAGCCTGCTTCTCTTTTTTGAATCCTAGGCCAAGGGCACGATATTGCACACCCAGTTAGAACAAATCTGCAGCTCCTAACAGCTTACTTTGTAGTGATTCTGAAAGTTCACCCACTCCCCTTCCGGAAGACAAGCCCCGCCAGGCAGGGAGGCTGTCCTGCCTGTCTGCTTTTGGGTCTTCCGACGCTCAAGGGGCACAAATATCCGCAGCATTGGATGTGTGGAGGATGTGCAGGAGAGGCTTGGGGAGCCGGCTACCCTGCCTGCCTCTGATCCTCCTCTCCTCCCCTCCTGCAGCTACCTTCTGGGTAAACCCCCAGTTCAAGATCCGGTTGGAGGAAGTGGATGATGAAGACGACTATGAGAGCCGCGAGTCCGGCTGCAGCTTCGTGTTGGCCCTCATGCAGAAGCACCGCCGCAGGCAGCGTCGCTTCGGACGGGACTTGGAGGCCATTGGTTTCACGGTGTTCGAGGTTAGCCGGAGGGGTGGGCCCACCTCTGCCCACTGCAGCGAGCATCCACCAGGGGGCGCAAGAGACGCTGACAGGGAGGCTGTGTCGGGGAAGACGCTGAGGAATCCCACTGGGGCGGAGAGGGGAAAGGTGGTGGTTGGCTCCAGGAAAGGAAGATTCTAGAATTAACCCTTCTCCTAGAATGTGGGATGCTGCTCCGGGAAAGAGGGAGCGGGGTTGATTGCTATGTGGAGCAGGTGGGGAACGTCTGTTGCCCAGGGCGAGGCTGTTCTAGGCCTTTTCTGTGCCTCCCCTGCTGCTTTGGTTGTTGTTGTTTGGAGTATTTTTGGGAGGGGGAGCTAGTCTTCAAGACCAGGGTCTCTCTGTGTGGCCCTGGCTGCCCTGGAACTTGTTCTGTAGACCAGGCTGGCCTCAAACTCAGAGATCTGCCTGCCTCTGCCGAGTGCTGGGACTAAGGGCCTGCACCACTATCGCCCAAGCTCTTCTGATTCTTATTCTGCAGCTCAAGATAGGGAATGAAACTTCTAGATCTCCCTTGCCAGGGTAGAGGCAGGCTATAGCCTTGCCTAAATCCAGAACCCCTGGCAGCAGATGAAATGGAGTCTGTGATGTCCCTGGGTTTTATTCACATTCTGACTGGCAGCCTGGTAGCTATTTTAAGCTGATTCAGAGGGAGGCCCAGGAAGTCACAGGGACAGAGACTTGTGCCCTTTCCTTCCACTGAGAAGCTAGGTCTGGGACATCACTGGCCCATTTCCTGTCTCCTGGGTTCTCTCCCTAAGGACTCAGGACCTCTACCCAGCATGTTTATCCTCCTGCCAGGGTAGAGGTCCTGAGCTGTTCTCCTCTCTCTCTTGCAGGTTCCTCCGGAGGTAGGTGTAGCTCTCTTTTGACTCACTTGGTTCATCAGCCCCCTACACTTATCGGTTTGATGGCGCCTGGAGAGGAGCAGCATGGTCAAAGTCAGCCCTAGCCCACATAAGGAACCGGGAGACCTCACCTTGTCACTGCCTGAAAAATGCTGCCCCAATTCTTGTTCATCAAGTAGCCAGTCATTGCACTCCTGAGGACGGGAGCAGATAGCAAAGACTGGATCCGAACCCCGATCCTCAGATCCCCACTCAACAGGCAAACAGGCCAGGTTCCCTGTCCTGCTGGTCACACTGAGCAAATGCTAAGCAGGCTGTGGGGGACGGGCTTAGAAGTGGGTGTCACTCAGCTGAGTGGTCTATACCCTTGAGCAGTCGCTTAAGCCCTGATGGGGTTTCTATTGAGACATGACACTACCCAGCTGTGGGAGGTAAAGGCAGAAGGATCAGGAGATCAGGATCATCCTTGGCTATAGACTGAGGTCAGGGCCAGCCTAGGCTACCTGAGGCCCTGTTTTAGTGGAGGGAGAAAAGAAGAACATTTCCTCCGGGGGTATCCAGATGGTCAGCAAAGTGCCACTGGTCAGGTTTCACGAGAGACGCAACACAGGCACCACTCCAGGGGATGATAATGGTGACACGTGGCATCTTAGCTTTCTTTTTCAGTGTGGGAGCTTGAACTTAGGGTCTCCCCTGTGCTATGGAAGCACCGAAGCACTGGGCTGCATCATAGCTTATAAATTTTTATTTATTTATTATTTGTGTTTGTGCCTGTACGCGCGCGCGTGTGTGTGTGTGTGTGTGTGTGTGTGTGTGTGCACGCGTATGTGTGTGTAGGAGAGTAAAGCACATGCTGCATCCTCAGTGTAGAGCTAAGACGATAACTTGTGACTCAGTTCTCTCCTTCCTCCTGAGCTCCAGGCGTGGAGCTCGGGGCATCAGGCTTGTGCAGTAAGTCTGCTTCCTTGCTGAGCCACCTGGACAATGCCTGTGGCATGGTGTTTTAGAGTCCTCTGTATGTCTGCAGTCAGGTTGGACACTCACGTTTTCGTTTCCTTTGTTTCATCTAATTTCTTATTTGTTTATCTTTGAGATAGGGCTTTATGTAGCGTAGGCTGGCCTAAACTCGCTATATGGCCGAGGATGACTTTGAACTCCCCATCCTCTTGCCTCTACTTCCTGAGTAATGGGATTACAGGCGTGTCTGGTTTAATGCAGAGCTGGGGATCAAAACTGGAGCCTGGGGCTGGTGAGAAATCTCCGTAGATAAAGGCTCTTCTCCCCAAGCCTGATGAGCTGAGTTTGATTCCTAAAACCCACGTGGCGAGAGGCGAGGACAGACGCCTACACGTTTTCCTCTGACCTCCGCTCACACCTTGGCATTCAGGCATCGCCTCCCCCAACCACACACACACACACAAAAGAATGAATCGGGGTAGGGAGGTACCAGAGCCCTGTACCACTAAGCCGCAGCTGCAGTCCAGGTGCTCACGTTGTATAGAAAAGTGGCCAGAAGGTGAGTGGCTCGTCAGGGTCTCACAGGCTGTGCCAGACCTAGCAGGCCTGGATTGCAGCCCTTCCGACCCCTGCTTGCTTCTTTCCTCCTGCCAGCTGGTGGGTAAGCCCGTGCACATGAAACGTGACTTCTTCCGCTCCCACGAATCCCTGATCAATTCAAAGATCTTCACCAACATCCGGGAAGTCAGTAATCGCTACCACCTGCCTCCGGGGGAGTACATTGTGGTGCCGTCCACCTTCCAGCCCAACAGGGAGGCTGACTTCCTGCTGCGCTTCTTCTCCGAGAAGGCTGCCGGGACCCAGTGAGCAGGCCCCCCCGCCCCCGCCCTACTGCGCCCGTTTCCCCTCTGACTGACCCTCTGACTGACCCTCTCCTCCACTCTGCAGGGAGCTAGATTACAAGATCCAGGCCAACCTCCCTGATGAGGTACGTGGGCCCGTTCTCTCCCCTGGGTGTGCCTCGGAGAGGTGGGCTCCAGCTGGTAGGGTAGACAGCTTCCTCGTAGGAGTCCTTAAGAACAACATTAGTTTCTTGTCTGCCCAGCACTTGTGATATGCAAGGGCCCTCGGTGATGATGGTAGACAGTTCCTAAGCTAGGCCCCTGTATCATGTTTCTTCCCCATTGTTACCTCATTCACAACCTTGCCCTCTGAATGAGGAGCACAGCTTCAGAGAGGCTGATGAATTTGCCCAAGTTCACACAGCAGGGATCCTAACCCCAACTTTTCAGCACCTACCTGACATTTAGCCATCATTTAAGTGACAAGACTCCTAGGCAGAGGGCAGGTCCCATTTTACAGGTTAGAGGAGGGAGGCTCAGAGAGATGAAGTGACAGCCCCAGCTCCAGTGGCTGCCCCTGCAGGCAAGAGCTGGGCCACGGCCCCCCTGATTCATTCTCTCCGTTCTGAGTACAGAAAGTGCTGTCGGAAGGAGAGATTGATGAGAGCTTCAAAGCCTTGTTCAGTAAGCTGGCAGGGGAGGTAAGTCAGGACCTGGCAGGACCTGGCAGGAGCGGGGATCCCTGTGTGAAGTGGGGGAGCCCGACAGGTGCCATCTTCCGCCTTCCCCTAGGACATGGAGATCAGCGTCAAAGAGTTGCAGACCATCTTGAACAGGATCGTTAGCAAACGTAAGGGTCCCCACCTGTGTCCCGTTCCCCACCCACCCCAATCGCCACGCGCTTGCTCCCACATGGACCTTGCTCCCACACCTTGGTCTAGGTGGATGGCGAGCCTTCCATCGCCTTGGCCCCACTCTCCGCCATTCCTATCCCAGACTCCTCACTGACCCTGCCCCACTCCGTCTCCTCACTAGAGCTCTGTGGCCTTAGGGAAGACAGCCCCCAGCAGAGCCAGCCACAGGTGCTCAGTACCAATAGAGCAAGGCAAGACTGTGCCTCCAGGCCAGGCCACAGGTCTTGGGAAGTAGAGTAAGGCTAAATTCCAGGCCCCGATGATACCTGTGGGCAAAGCCGCTCTCGTGACTTGCCCTTCCCTTCTGCCTCAGCTGCTGTATGTGGGCATTGCCTGCTCTAGCTGCCCGTGGCTTGCTGGGCCTGGCCTCTGTCTGCACACCTGCCTGGGTCCAGGACATCTACCGTGCTGGCATGGCTTTGTTCACCTCTGCAGCCCACAGCCAGTGCCTGCTGGCTTCTCTGCTGCCCATCCCTTGTCTGTTCCGGACTTTCTTCCTTTCATTCTGGGCCTGCTGGTAGATATGGATCCGGCTTCCGAGGTGTGGAAACGCTCTGCTGTTTCTCAGGATAACAGCGTTCCATCTCATGCTATGCTGGTCTCAGTACCCTCGGGCCGGACTGGGACCTCCCTATCACCGGTGACTTCAGGGCTCCCGGCATGGCTGGTTCTGAAAGAACTAAGTCCAGCTCCTTGACCGGTTCCTTCTCTATCTCTGTCATCTCTCTCTCGGCAGATGAGGACATCAGTGTCCTGCCCTATCACTCTCCACCCTATGCCCTTGAGACAGGGTCTCTCACTGAACCTAGGACCGGGCTGGCGGCCAGCAAGCCTCTGCAATCTTCCTGCCTCTGTCCCCAACAGCACAGCCGTTACAGATTGTGTGAGTGTGTTTGTATGGGCGTGTGTATGTGACCGTGTGTGGGTGTGGGTGAGTGTGTGAGACAGACAGACAGACTCGCTCACCTCTTATGTGGATGTTGTGGATTTTAAAACATTTATCATAACTTTAATTTTATGTGTCTAAATGTTTTACCTGCGTGCCTGTAAACGAACCACTTGCGCATCCCCTGGACCTGGAGTTAGGAGAGGTTGTGAGCCACCATTTGGGTGCTGGGAAATAAACCCATGTCCTCTGCAAGAGCAGCCAGTGCTCTTAACTGCCTAGCTATCTTTCCAGCCATTCTCTTCTTTTTCTCTTTCTTCCTTTTCTTTTGTAGACAGGGTCTACATAGCTGAGGCTGGCCTTGAACTACTGATCCTCCTCTCTTCTTCCAACTGTCGTGGTGACAGGCATGTACCACCATGCTTCCCTCATGCAGTGATGGGGCTCAGACCCGGAGCAAGTACTCTGTGAGCTGAGTGGCATCCTTGGCCCCTAGACCTGTTTGTTTGTTTGTTTGTTTGTTTGTTCCAGACAAAGACCTGCGCACCGACGGCTTCAGCCTCGAGTCGTGCCGCAGCATGGTGAACCTTATGGATGTATCCTTCCACCTGCTTTTGTCTCTTTGGAGTTTGGGGCTGAGCAAGATGCCGTCCACCTGCCCTAGGAGCTGCTGAGAAGCTTGGATAGTGCTGGGAGGGTGTGGATGCGGTAGGACCTCATGTTCAAACACCCTCCTGGATATCTTCCAGTTGGCGAGAAAGGGAAACGGAGGCTCGGGTCTTGTGGGAAATGGAGCAAGACCTTGGTCTCCAGTTGGCCCTAAGGCTGGTACTATTTCTGCACCTCCCCCCAACCCACTTCACTGTAGCCAGCACTTTGAATGCTGGCTGTGAGCTGCAGGTGGCCGCTGTTGTCTCTCCCCTCCACAGCCAGGCTCCCTTTCCCCTAGCTCCCCATTTTACACGCCTACTTTCAACCGTACAGTTTCCTTCTTAACCTCTGCCAAGCGAGATGGCAACGGGAAGCTGAGCCTGGTAGAGTTCAATATCCTGTGGAACCGCATCCGAAATTACCTGGTAGGTGGTTCCGTGGCTGGGCTCTCCTGCCTCCCTGTGGCCTCAGTCATGGCACGGCCAGGCCTGGTGGCAGAGCTCTGGCTGGCTGCGTGGCCAGACCTTCCTCTACAACTTCTTTTCTGCATGGGACCCCTTCCTGGCCATTCCCCTCCTCCTTCACTGTCCCCGGGGTCAGAGGCAGCCATGAGGAGCTGCTGACTCACTTGGTCCTCACCCTTTTACCCAACACACAGACCATCTTCCGGAGGTATGACGTGGACAAGTCCGGCAGCATGAGTTCCTATGAGATGAGGATGGCCATCGAGGCTGCGGGTGAGGCCCAAAGCTGTTGGCCCCAGGCTGCCTCCCTGACAGAGGCCTGGCTGGCTGGCCCTTGACCCTGGGGGATGGTGGCCATGCTAAAGATGTGGTTACCAAGCTAAGGGCTTTGTCTGTGGTCCTCCCCTTCCTCACCTAGCAGCCTACTGAGAACAAGGGCCTTTCAATTAAGTTTTGCATGTGTATGTGGTGTGCATGTATGTATTTATGTTCGTATGTGTGCAGGTACACATAAAGGCCAGGTACGGCATCATCTGTCTTTCCTCATTAATCTTACCGAGATTTTATCTGATCTCACAGATTAATATAGTTTAGCTCTTCAACTTCCCTGGGGAGACCCATCTGCCCTCCCCGCAAGTGAGTGCTGGGATTACTGGCAGGCTACCAAACCCGCCTGGATTCTATGTGGGTTCTGGGTATCCAAACTCTGGTCCTCGAGGTTTCATGGCAAGTGCTTTATTCGCTGTGTCATCAGGCAGAGGGAGGGCGGGCAGGAACGGCTCCAGGCTCCTGTGAGGCAGGTACAGGGCTCTCCCACACTGACCCTTGTATAAACACAAGGCCAGGCTGTTTTGAGTAAATGCCTAGGTCCTCTGCAGCCAGCTTGTGATTTTTTGGGGTGATGCTCCTCCTGGGCCTGGCCCTCTCTTACCCAGACCCTCTCAGCTTTACCCAAGAGGTATTTCAGGCCCTTTGCTGGGAGAAGGATGATCCTAGCTACCTCACCCAGACCAACGCCTCCGCTGCCCTGTCTGGCTGCACCTGCACCGCCCTCTCTTGCCTCTCTCCCGCTCAGGCTTCAAGCTCAACAAGAAGCTGCATGAACTCATCATCAACCGCTACTCAGAGAACGACCTGTGCGTGGACTTTGACAACTTTGTGTGCTGCCTCGTGCGACTGGAGACCATGTTCCGTGAGTGTCCCTAACTGGCCCCGCTTTGCCACAGTGCCCACAGTGTTTCTTCTGGAGCCACGGAGGGACGAAAGCAGTGGAGGCTGAGGGGGAGCAAGGACTCATACGTGGGTACTTGGTGCGAGAGGGCCTAAGGAGGCCTCTTTGGGCAGGAAGCCTCATGGCTTTACTCGGCAATAAGTTGGGGAAGCGTGGGAGGTGGGAGGCAGTCTGGATGTTAGCTGTCTGGTTGGTGGCCCAGATTTAACTCATCTTTTTTTTTTTTTGAACACAGGATTTTTCAAACTTCTGGACACAGACCAGGATGGTATTGTGACCTTTGATCTATTTAAGGTGAGATAGCCCGTGTTCACCCGTCCCTTCCAGGGCAGGAGTCCATGGCCTTGGAACCCGGCCTCAAATCTGTGCCCTAGTCCTGGAAGCCTTCAGTCAGGGGCTTCTGGAGCCCAGGGAGGCATGAAGAGGGGTAAGGCCAGGCTGCTAGAAGCTAGTGGGAACCAGCAGCCTAGCATCCTGGAGTAGAGAAATAAGAAAGCACAACCCCCAGCCACAACAGAGGTGGGTGGAGGGGGGACACGTACTTTTAACCTCTGCACTTGGGAGGCAGAGGCAGGCAGATCTCTGAGTTTGAAGCCAGCCTGGTCTACAAAGCAAGGACAGCCAAGGCTACACAGAGAAACCCTGTCTCAAAAAGAAAGAAAGAAAGAAAGAGAGAGAGAGAGAGAGGAAAGAAAGAAAGAAAGAGCGAGAGAGAGAGAGAAAGAAAGGAAAGAAAGAAAGAAAGAAAGAAAGAAAGAAAGAAAGAAAGCGCCCTGTTCACCAGAAAGCCCCTCAAAAGGGGCATGAAATATGGGTGGTGATGGCCAAGCGGTGGGGCTGGAGTCTGTACTCTGGGCTGGGTGAAGAAGGAGGCGGAAGTAGCCGTATGTCCTGCTGCCCCCAGTAACCCGTCCATCTTGCCCTACAGTGGTTACAGCTAACCATGTTTGCATGAGCTGGGGATTCAGCTCCCATTGCCCTGTTCTTCCTTCTTCTTCTGCCAAGCCACGCCTTCCTGCCAGATCACAGCAGCCGCCAAGTGCCTCCCTCGGACTAGGAATCACCCTTGTCCTCCTGCCCTTCAGCCCCTCCCCACTACCTCTATTCAACTGCTCTGGGCAGAGTAACAGGCTCTCCCTTTCCCTGTGGCCAAAGGCTCAGAATGGGCAGCCCTGGACTCCGCTCATGGCTAAGACCAGAAAGGCAGCTTCCTGCTGATTCCTGCCTCTGGGGCAGGAGCGAGCAGCCCTGCCCCTCTCCCCACTAATGTCCGGAAGTGTGTCGTCCCTAACCTGTGAAGGCTATAGCCCCTGCCATCCCCTAGACCTACAGACTTTATAACCACTAGCTAGCTCACCGTCTGCATCTGGGTACCAGAGGCCTCGCCTCACTCGCTGCAGGAGCCCCGCAGCCGGAATTACCTGTGCCTTCCTGTCCAACAGCCAAGATCCCTCTGCAAATCAACCACACACACACCCTGCCCCGTGTGCCTACCAAGAATGTCTTAGCCTGGAGGGTGCTCAGGCCCTCCCTTCCCCCCTCCCTTGTCTTTATATATATATATATATATATATATATATATATATATATATATATGTCAATTTCAAGTGAATCCTGCTTGAGGTACTAGTGTACTGGTTATGGAGGACCAGGCACTGGGGGAGGGGGGGAATGTGTGTCCCGTGTGTCAGTGCAGTGGAAAAATAAAACAAAAGGCCGCATATCTGTCTCTCAGTGTTATTCTCCCAAACCTACTTCTTTGATTGTGCCAGCAATCCTTGGCCTAGAGACAGCTCATAGCCTCATACCCACCCTTGCTGAAGAGACTGGGCATCTAGCTGTGGCCACCTCTGCCCCTGAGATGTTGAGAAGGCCTGGGCACAGACATGGATTGGATGGCTCTATTGACAAGGCTCGTTCAGGTGGCTTTTCTTGTTTTGCATGCCCTCCTAGAGGGATGACCCAGACTTCCTCTTTTGTAAGGAAACACAAAACCTCCCCTTCACATAAATCTGACCCACCGGGAGCTGCCCAAGACACAGAGCCCCACCTCACCTCTCCAGGCCACACTGGGACACCCCGTGATCCAGCAGTTTATATAAGCTGTTCCGCCCCTGTGGCTCTTCTTACCAGAGATAAGAGTAGGTGAGGCGAGAGAATGAGAACCAGTCACCTGCTAAGACAAAGGCAGCCTGTGTAGACTGAAAGATCCAGGCTGGGTGTATTTGGTCGATAGAGGGCTTGCCTAGGTAGGCATAGGAGGATTAGAAGTTTAACAGTCAGCCGGGCTTGGTGGTGCACGCCTTTGATCCCAGCACTTAGGTGGCAGAGGCAGGCGGATCTCTGTGAATTCAAAGCCAACCTGGTTTACAAAGTGAGTCCAGGACAGCCAAGACTACACAGAGAAACCGTCTCAAAAACAAAAACAAAAAAAAAAAAAAAAAGAAAGAAAGAAAGAAAAAAAGTTTAACAATCATCTGGGCAGTGGTGGCTCACATCTTTAATCTCAGGAGGCAGAGGCAGGTAGGTCTCTTGAGTTCAAGGCCAGCCTGGTCTACAAAGAGCAAGTTCCAGGACCAGCCAGGACTCCACAGAGAAATCCTATCTCAAAAAACAAACAAATAAAAAAAAGTTCAAAGAGGGACTGGAGGGATGGCTCAGAGGTTAAGAGCACTGGCTGCTCTTTCAGAGGTCCTGAGTTCAGTTCCCAGCAACCACATGGTGGCTCACAACCATCTATGATGACATCTGGTATCCTCTTCTGGCGTGCAGGCACACATACAGACAGAACATTGTATACATAATAAATAATAATAATAAAAAGGTCTCCCTCAACTACACAGGGAATTCCAGGCCAGCCTGGGCTATATTAGACCCCATCTTGAGAAAAAGAAAAGAGAATTTGAGGAACCCAGAGAGAGGGACTGCCCATATTATCAGAAATGGAACTGAAACATCTCTGATAGTAAGAGGGACAGTGCCCTGAGCTGACTGTTTGTTAGTCACCTGTTAGTCCTGTCTCCACTGGCCTCATCGGCAGGGGGCTGCTTTGTGACAGGTCCTGGAGGGAGGCCAGGCGGGTGATGTCCTGGACTCCTCTCTTCTCAGCCTTCAGCCGGTCTAGCATGGTTTTAATTCCATGTGGTGACTGGCCAGTGGGGATAATCTGAACTCACCCCAACCCCGAGCTGAAGCTGCACCATGAACCTGCTTCTTGACTGCCCTTTTTGGGCTTCTGTGGTTTTGTTTCTGCATTGTTCTGTTGTGTTGTATTTGATTTAGTTTTCATTTAGAAAAAATAAATAAATTTGAGAGCCAGGTGCACACACTAGGGAGGCAGAGGCAGGCAGATCTCTGTGAGTTTGAGGCCATCCTGTTCTACACAGTAATTTCGAGGACAGCTTTATTCATTCATTCATTTTTAAATATTCATTGTATTATTTATACAACATTCTTCCCGCACACCAGATCTCACTATAGATGGTTATGAGCTACCACGTGGTTGCTGGCGATTGAACTCAGGACCTTTAGAAGAGCAGCAACTGTTCTTCACCTCTGAGCCGTCTCTCCAGCCCAGCTTTATTTACTTATCTGTCCATGCCATAAGGTATCTACACATATGTGCACAGATGGGCATGTACTTATACATGACATGGCACTTTGCAGAAGTCAGGAGTCAGCCTCAGGTGCCTGAGGGGCCCTCCTCCTTATCCTGGGGAGACAGGCTCTCTCTCACTGGGACCTGGGCTTGCTGATTAGGCTCGCCTGTCTGGCCAGCACGCCCCATGGCTCTGCCTCTGCAGTGCTGAGATACAGCGCAGGCCACCATAGCCCCCTTTTTAAGTGGGTTCTGGGTTTAAATGCAGGGCTTTCATGATTTTAAGGCACTTGAGCACTCTTCGGACTCAGCTTTCTTCCTAGTATCCAACCCTTGGCTTTTCTAACTCAAGAGGTCACAGATGAAGACAGAACTGAAGCAAGGGCCTGGGGGAGGGGCACCCTGCAGATGTGGGCACACTTAGGCCTCCTGCAAAGTGTAACTGGATCTCTCTGAGCTGCAGTGTAGAAGGCCTGTGTGATCCTAACCCCTGGCCTGATCCTCCCCCTCCTGGTCCCTTCCCCAGCCTTTTTACATAAGACCTGGGCAGGCTGAACCAAGTGTAGGGTCCTTAACCATGGCCTTCACAGATCTGCTGGATGTCCTGGGGGGTGTGGGTCGCTTCCAGTTTGTCTATACAGCCTTGCTGCTGCTGCCCTGTGGCCTGCTGGCCTGCCACACCTTCCTACAAAACTTCACAGCTGCTGCGCCCCCTCACCGCTGCCAGCATCTCGCCAACCACACAGAAGCTACCGCCAATGACTCAGGGGCCTGGCTGAGGGCCACCATACCCTTGAACCAGCATGGGGTCCCTGAGCCATGCCAGCGTTACAGAGAGCCTCAGTGGGCTCTTCTGAAACCCAACACTTCCTCCCACGGAGTGGCCACAGAGGGCTGCAAGGATGGTTGGGTCTATGACCGAAGCATTTTTCCATCTACCATCGTAATGGAGGTCAGAGGTGGGTGGGTGACTTGGGGGGCTGGGAGAAGGCTACCACATAAGGACAAAGGTTAGCACTCCTCTCTCCTCAACAGTGGGACCTGGTGTGTGAGGCCCGCACCCTCCGTGACCTGGCTCAGTCCATCTACATGTCTGGGGTGCTGGTCGGGGCTGCCTTGTTTGGTAGCATTGCCGACAGGTGAGCCTTAGGGGCAGCCCGTAAAAAAGGAAAAAAAAGAAAACCTTACATTCATCTATTTTCTTTGTTCCCTTCCTTCCTTCCTTCCTTCCTTCCTTCCTTCCTTCCTTCCTTCCTTTCTTTCTTTCTTTCTTTCTTTCTTTCTTTCTTTCTTTCTTTCTTTCTTTCTTTCTCTCTGTGTTTTTTTTCAAAACACTGTTTCTCTGTGTAGCCCTGGCTGTCTAGAACTCACTATGTAGACCAGGCTGGCCTCGAACACACAGAGATCCACCTGCTTTCCAAGTGCTAGGACTGAAGATGTGCGCCACCACTGTCTAGCTATTTCTTTCCTTTCCCTCCTTCCTCTTTTCCATTCTGTGTGGATTTGTCTGTATGTGTAGACATGCAATGGGTTTGTGTTTTTCTATTAATTTGTTGAATTTCTGATCTTTGTGCCTCTGCTTCCCCAGTCCTGAGATCATAGTCATGGACCTCTTCTCAAAATCTGGGTCTTTTCAGAATCTCTACCTTTCCCTAACCTGGGAAATCTCTTGGTCTCTGATTTTCTCCCACACATGCGCCTGTACCCCTGACCAGCCTTGGCCAGCAGTCCTAGAGTCCCGGCAGCTGTGTGTGCTGGTTAGAGGGGTGGATTTTTTTACTCGGCATCTCACCTTCCCCTTGATTGCTTTGGTGTCTCCACCAAGACACAAATATCAGGTACAGGCTTTGCTCTGTTGGGGGTGTCTAGCTGCCTTGGGATTCCCTAACCCCTCAGTCTTCGGGTTCAGGTTGGGCCGCAAGGCCCCACTGGTCTGGTCGTACCTACAGCTGGCAGTTTCAGGGGCCGCCACGGCATATGTCGGCTCCTTCAGCGCCTACTGTGTCTTCCGGTTTTTGATGGGCATGACCTTCTCCGGCATCATCCTCAACTCTCTTTCCCTGGGTGAGTCCAATCTCAAGGGGTGACCCAGGGAGGCTGGGGTCGTGAAAAGGGTCATGCTGCCATCATAGGACAGCTTTTAAACTTTCCTTTTCTTGTAATTCTCATCCAGAAACCTCAACTCAAACCCTCCTACCCAGGGATCTGGGTTGACAGACTGTGACCCTGGCAGAAGCGGGCGGTCCCTGGTGGCCTTTCTTGGGTCTGGGTTTCAGTTTACTGATCTGTGAGCTGAAAGGGTCAGGTTGATTTCACTTGAGAGTTACTCAATAATAGCCATTAATTGTCTGCAATGTGCCAGCCTCAGGTGGGGGTCACACAGGACCATAAGGTAGGCTCGTCTCCAAGGGAGCCGGGTATAGTGGCCCACACCTGGAATCCCAGCACTTGGGAGGTGGAAGCAGGAGGATCAGGAGTTCAAGGTCATCCTCAGCTACACAGCAAGTCTGAGGCTTCCCTAAGCTTGTGGGAGTCTGTAAATCAAAGGGGGGCATGGAGAGGTTCACACATTCGAGGCTAGCCTGATCTAGATAGTGAGTTTCAGGCTAGCCAGAAACTACAGAGCAATGAGACTTCTTTTTTTTATAATAACTAAATCAATCAGGTGGTCCCAAGGGCAACAGAGAGCCCTCACACTGTATGGCTCCAGGGAAGGTAGGCTCCCTAAGAAGTGAAGGCTGGTCATTTCTTAGCTCCATGGCAGAGGTTTGAATTCCTGAGTGCTAAGAGGAGTGTCACCCTTCAGTGATAACTGATAAGCTGGGGCCTGTGGGTAGCCCTGGCGGAAGGTGTTATGAGGCGATAGAGAGTTCACTCTGGACACAGGCCTGCCACCTGTGTGTGCTGTTCTCAAGCTGCATAGTTTGCTTCTGAAGACGCCGTCAGGCTCAGAGACTGCCAGCACCTTCAGCTGGCCATAGACAGGCGGGCCTTTGATTTCAGGTTGGGAGAAAGGCCTTGGGCCTAGATCAGTGCCCCTTTTCTGCCTCTGTGTCCCAGCATTTGAACATTGAGAGGTGCAGAGTGTATATTGGGCCCCAGTAATTCAGTTCCACCTTCCAG